CGTCCCAGGTGTGGACAACCGAGATGTTTGTTTTTGCCGCTAAAAAATGAGAATTATTTCTTTGATATATTGATTTGTACGAAGGAAGAATATTCTCATTCATTTTACATACATTCGGTTCATCAATGCCGTGACTTCCAGCAGAACCTTAAAGCAGCGATTGCTTTCATACGTTTAACTATAATAAAAATATGACTTGTGAAGAAAAGAAGCTTTGCATAACTGTAAATGTCACGCTAAAATTTGTATGAACCCTAAAGCAACAAAGGCTTAAAATACAGAGCCAGCTGCTGCACCATTTTTCTGATGAGCCTGAATATCTGGTGGCTTTGTATTTGTATTTTTTGTGATTTATTTTACAAGGAGGAATTAACATCTCCGTAATTTCTGCGAAATACGATTCAAATGCGCTCAAGGCCTCCGTGAGAAAAAGATCTTCATCAGAGAAGCAGTACATTTTTGTTATCGTGAAATAAATCAACTTTATCTAAACCCAGTCTTGGTTTCAGCCTCCTCCTTTAGCGTGGCCAGAGAACAAATTGCCAAGTAATTGGCGTGACACTTGGCCGCCTGTTTACTCTAACTGTTCCTAAGTTTACGTTTATAAGGCCTTCGAAATTCCAGACGGACATCGGAACGACGCAGTTCGGCTGCCTATCGTCAACAAAGATCTACTTTTTCGACAAGAGTTTAGGTTTCCAGCATCAGAGAGTGTCTACACTTCGACTGTTATTCTTTGGCTGGCTGGGGCTTTGAAGAGAAACCAGATTCTGAATTTAAATTTAATAAAGGATAAATTTATTGCTGGTTTGATGAATATATTGTGATAGGCAACGAATATATTGGTATAGGCAACGAATATATTGGTATAGGCAACGAATATATTGTAAAGGCAACGAATGTATTGGTATAGGCAACGATTAAATTGTATAGGCAACGAAAATATTGGTATAGGCAACAAATATATTGGTATAAGCAACGAATGTATTGGTATAGGCAACGAATATATTGGTATAAGCAACACATATATTGGTATAATCATTGTAGGGGCGATAAAAAATATAGAAACAAAGCCATCAACTACAGACATAAAATTCAATATCGTACACAACTGATGAATAAACATTAATGACAGAACCTCATCATACAATGTATTAATAAATAATACTTAAGCCGTGCCATTTCATTCGCCCAAGTTTATCCAGTGAAGCTATTGCGCTAAAATTTTCAATGTCAATCTTATATTCTTCGGTCTCGGTTCTTATTTTGGAACCTGGAACGATTGAAAAACCTAGTCTATAATAAAATACTTAAAAAAAGCTTTTTAAAAAAACACGTTTTTCTTGTGGACTAAAAAGTAGAAAATAAATTACACACAACACACGAATTTTGGCAATTGGATGGTGAACGTACAGCCCGACCCACGTTTTTTGGGGCGAGCCATAATTTATTTTCTACTTTTTAGTCCACAAGAAAAACGTGTTTTTTTAAAAAGATTTTTTAAGTATTTTATTTTCTCCTTTTTAGTCCGTTGCTGCACGGACTAAATAGCATGACTTAACATACGTATCGATGATACGCAGCGTCAGCGCCTGCTCGTCTATAACGTGAGCGCCCGCACGTCATACTATATATATATAGTATATATATACTTTACTCAATTAAGCTAATTTAGGTCTCTAATTGCTAGTTTTTATGATTGTCTCTGAAATTGTTAGGCGAAAATAGCCTGCATGCCGAATTTCAGAGCTCTAGAGCAATCAGAAGTGGGTTAATTTTCGTTGTCAATGTTAACAACAAACAAACAAACAAACAAACAAACAAACAAACGCGAAGCTAAGCTAAGAACAAACAAACAAACAAACAAACGCGAAGCTAAGCTAAGAAAAACGTGTTAAAAACGTGTAAAAAATATCAATTTAGGCAAGCAATGATCAAACAACTAACTCATATTAACATCAGTGAATCAACACGCCTCATTGTTATAAAATAAATAAACCTAACAATTGCCAGGCATTCCCAAGCGATGTCACGTCAGTGTGAATTATAACCTAAACTAAAAAGTATTAACCATTCAAACATTTAATAAACCATTTGCTCCTCTTACAACATCATACATTGGGTGAGTCGATAATTTCAGCGCCGAATACAGAAATAAAGTTTGAAACTTATATACAATAAATGTTCCGTCGGAATGGTTCGAGAAGTTTTAAACCCAACGGACTTTCATCTGTTGGATTCACGATTGCGAATGAGAGTTTCATTCTAAAATCTTCTAACGCGTCCATTAGCATAAGCACATTTTGTAGGAGCAAACTTAACACAAAGTTTAGGCTTTTACATGAGAAGTTTGTGCAGCGCATTGACCGAAAGCTTTCACTATATCTACAGAAGTCTCATTCTAATTCAGGCGCATTTCTTGGAATGCGATTTAACCGCTGATTTCTCATTTGCTGAAACTTTACAGAAGACAGAATGAAACGCGCACCAGATTTTGAAGTAATCACATAATTAATTTTTTAATTATGAGCTAATTGTTGTTCCAATAAATTCAAGTTTGTGTCATTCAAAAATCAAACTATATTCGTTAAAATATTTCTCAGGAGCACGTATTTTATTGTTCTTCACGCCTCGCTATAATCACCTGCACGCTAACGAAACTTAGCACTTCAGCCATCAAAATAAACGAGATAAAAATATGCTTCAGCGCTGTCAGAGAAATAAGGAGAAACGAAGGGACGAACGAATAAGGACGAAGTAAATTCCTTCGTCATCAAAGGAATCCAAGTAATAGATTGTCCCGAAAGAAATTCATCAAACAACTTGTGTTGAAATATCGGTTCACGGAGAATGAATCCAATTTATGCAGCCGAAGCGGAATATTACGACGAGAAACTCTTCACTATATAGTCACGCCATGAGCAGCCACAGCGATCTTCAAGGAGCCAACGGCTATTAAGCTTCATAATTACATTGTTTCCAGAGCCTAATATAAAATGATGAAATTCAATCGTTTTAAATCATATATTCAGAAAGATTTTGAAGCAATCGTCTACAATCTTAACTTTAATCGACCCAGGCACCAGTAGCACGTTTCGGCCTGAGCTGTAACGATTTAAGGCTTTCATTGAACATATAATAATTCTGAATTTATTTATTCATATGAGCCTCACGATCCTTTCGTTGAAAGCGAAATGATCGTAAGAACCTTCCTGGCATGAGGACTTTCCTAGCAAGAGGACCTTCTTGGCAAAAAAGTTTAAGACACACGTTTTGTTTCCAAATAATAAACCAGCAGTTATCTGAGCTCAATAATAAACCAACAGTTATTTGAGCTCAATAATAAACCAGCAGTTACTAGAGCTCAATAATAAACCAGCAGTTACTTGAGCTTAATAATAAACCAGCAGTTACTTGAGTTCAATAATAAACCAGTAGTTACCAGAACTTAATAATAAACCAGCAGTTATTTGAGCTCAATAATAAACCAGCAGTTACTAGAGCTCAATAATAAACCAGCAGTTACTTGAGCTTAATAATAAACCAGCAGTTACTTGAGTTCAATAATAAACCAGCAGTTATCTGAGCTCAATAATAAACCAGCAGTTATCTGAGCCAAATAACTAACCAGAAGTTATTTGAGCTCAATAATAAACCAACATTTATCTCTGCTAAAATAAATTTCTGAAAAAATTTAGAGTTCTTTTATCCAACAATTCCACTGGTACAAGTTCCCTAAATCAGATGAATTCCCATTATTGCGTATTTTAATATATTTGTGTATAATATATTGATATATAATAGGCTAATTATTACTTTTATATTTTATTCTTTCCTTTAAACAAATTGATTGTTGTGCGTATTTCTCCATCATAACATTCTGCCAGCTGACGATTCACACGCACTCTAGTAGCAGGTGTCCGATATTGCTGTAACTTAAACATTTTTTTTTCCCAAGGCCAGATTGGTGGAGATTCAATGTTCGTGCGCATTGCAATTCTGCAATCCCTCTGCTATCGTAGCCTTCCATACCTCTGCCATGATAAGTTAAATCCGCGACTAGGAATAATTGATCGACAAATAGTACGTTTTTAAGTATTTAAACTGTAATTGTTTGGTAAGTATACGTTGTTTAAAGTGTTTCTAAACCTTCCCCGCATTCCTACTGCCGATCGAGTTCCGCGATCTGTTTAAAACTGCTGATCGATATCCTCCCGGTTAACCGCGAAGATCCGTGAATAATTCTTCAATAATATTTAATAATATTTATTTGGAAAACGGCGGTGGAGTGCAGCCGCGGTAGGTGAAGCGAGGTTTAATTTGCGAGGGATTACTTACTGTACATGCTGGGCAGTCTACATTTTTTGGCGAGGACGTTTCTTGTGAACTTCCACCACTAATTTGTTTAATAATTTAATGTTGAGACTTCGCTTTGTAGATGATGAATGATGCTAAGGAGGTAATATTTTTTAAAATCTGAGCCTCGTGTCATAGTTATATTGAATCCTTATTCAATGTATCTAGTCACTCATATGCCTCAACACAGATCATCATTATATGCCTCAACACAGATCATCATTATATCCCTCAACGCAGATATTTCGTCCATGGAAACGTCTCAATTCTTATTAATTTTCAGCACAAGTTTCGTAGTCACAAACAACTCCGCTAATGATGTTGTTCTGCCTAAATAATAGCTTCTCAAGTAATGAAGCTCTATCGCAATTATGAACAATATAAGCGTACAACGTACGGTAGCGGAAACAACTACCTTGCATAAAAATTATAGAGAGAAATCTCACGTTGAGACAAGACATGTGACGTTCTGTTCAATTTCCTATATTTTTCTTTACTCCAAGTCATGCATGACATCGAGCAACGAAAGTATAGCCTGAAAGGCCATAATGATGGCCTATACATCGAGAATAATGTTCATGCAATTTGAAACGTGGTCTACATTTACGGCATAAGAAACGGTGTGTTTTTTCAATCAATTTCAGGTACTGAAAGTGGTCATTTTTCCTATTACTTACGTTTTATTTCTTTGTTAATATAATATGATTGGCAAGACGTCCGTCATCTTCCTCTCCTTGGTGCTACTCGCAGGTATGTGGTGCGCGGGAATTGTTATATTTTGTTATTTCATGCCGTGAAATTATGCACAAAATAGAACAAGGCTTAAATTTAATAGCGACATCCATCGATTACATACTCATAATTATTTCTACTTTAGCACTATTTTGAAAAATATGACAAGTTTCATTCGAGAATGGCATCATTTATAAAAAATCATGTTTAATTAAATCAAAAAATTATGTTTCTTATCATTCCGAGGCCAATTACCACACATTGATGTTGATGCTTACTAGACCATTCAAAAACCGTCTTGGCGCAGCGCCACTCACTGATGCATTATTAATAAAATATATGAAATATATGAAGATATAATATATTAAATGTAAAATATAAATTCTGTAATCCACTATATTGCCGTATATATAATTTATACTGTCCTTCGAATTCCCCACGCGCTTATGTCTATGGAGTCTGTAGGTGAGCTGGTCTTATCTGATTATTTATTAAAGTTAATTCCAGTTCAAAGGGCGCGATGTCTCAAAGCCTCGCATGTGTCCAAAAACTATCTTAACGTCGGTCGTAGCCTAGATATTTAACTAATATTGATCTGAAGATATTTAGTAGGAAATGTGGAACATTTGGAATCTCTGCTTAATATTTTCCAAAAATTGAAACTTTTTGAGAAAAATTGGCTAGTTAATTCAATGAATAATAGTTCAATTCTCTCGCTACCGCAAGAGTTACACATAACTATTTTCATTTGAGAATAATATTTATAATTATCCTTGTCCGTTAAAAATTAAAGGTTATAATTAGCACAAATCGTGTGGGCTTGCAATTATTTGTCACTCTGACATGTTTCAAAAGGCTTCGATCAGGTCTGTGGAATATGTTGAGGAAAGTCAAATGGGTTTCACATAAACTACTTCGAATTAAACACTCAACATTCATGCGATTTCCATTGTCTCCTGAAAAATCTCGAAAGACAACATTATTCTAAGTAAATAACCATAACTATAAATAACTTAATTCAAGAGATAACCCCACCAATGTAGTTATTAGCTTTCATCTGAATCGTTCTACATCTTGCATCCGGTCTGAGTATATGACTTTGCTATGAAATAAAATTTAGTTGCTAGACCTGCATAGACCGTCGGCCTCAAGAATAACGTACATTGTTGTAGACAATGAATTATTTATTCTATTCAATATATTAATATTCAAGGTTATAAACATACCCAAAGACGAAATGGTAATGATATTTTTATAATAATGCATCCTAGAGATATAGTGAACAATTCTGTCATATCCGAACATTTTATGGCATCTTGAACTGAATGCATCTTGACAGCCTTGTTCAGCTCTGCTCAAAATCACATTTAGTATTGATCTTAAAATTGTAAGTCGGTCATATTGCCAGATTTATTTTATGGACAGAACAATTCGGAAGAAAAAGTACTTGTAGAATAAAAAAATATACGGGACGAAGGCATGTACATGATTACTCTAAATTTAAACTGCACTTTGCTTAAGCCAAAAGGACATCATGGTTGAAATATTTAAAAAAATTAAGAAAACAACATAAAACAACTTTATTCAATTACACATATCCTACCATTTACATCATTCAAATTCAACCCGAGATCTGTGGTGTAGAACTGAATATAATTGTGGGTGATGACAATTGAAAATCGCAAACTGTTTTTTAATATTGTAACAAATATCAATCTTACAAAACCTAACAACAACTATAAGTTTTGAGAAGGAAATTAAAACGCTCATCTCATGGAAATTCCAGAGTCTGGGACAAAAGTTTCCGGTTCTCCCCTGCATCCCGTTGGTTCTCACGATGTAAGGTCAGTACCTGTACAATAATATCACAAATTATAAAAAGCCTTAAACGGTGAACAAAACGCTCTTTGAAATAACTGGATTTATGTAAGTTTAGGAGTAAAAAATTATTATAAAATCGTATTCATTAATAAAACATTCATAACGAGTTTTAATGAACGAAGTGCGATAAATGTTTTTATTTATATTTTCGAACAGTTGCCAAAATTGTACCTCGGAAGAAATATTTGTACATGTAGCAAGCTAAGAGTTTTGCTTTTACATTTTAATGGTTTTATATTAGCAACTACTATTCACATAATCAATCCCTGTATTTAAATTACGTACCTGAGCACGCGTAGAAGAACATGAATGACACGACAAATATTCAGAACTTGTGTCAGTCGTGTCGACGTCATCCGAGGTATCCATGCGATCATGCATGAGTAAAATTGTGTGCCTCGCATATAAATTTATTTTGCAAAAATTGTGTTAATTGTACATCCAATAAATCAATAGTACCGTCTCAAACGTTATTATTATTATTATTATTATTATTATTATTATTATTATTCTACGAAGCAATTATCGTGGCGTCAAATCTTTCAATGTTCTATAAAAGTCCTTTTATTTAAATAATTCAGATTTCTAAATAAACCTATTTTCCTAGCTTACATTTCCCCAAAAAAAATTCTAATGAGGATATGTGGTCAGAACCTGCAGCGGGAAAAACATGAAATTATTCAACGCTTTGGATACAATATTTATCTGGATTTTCAATCATCCTAAAAGTGAATCGAATTAGTATTATTTTTGGGAAGAAATTAATTGCAAATCTCCAACACAAGCATACGGGCTAAAATTTTACAATTCGTGTGAATTCATGATGAAACTTGCAAGTAGAATAAAATATCAGTATGTGAAAGCAAGAAATTATTGTTTCTTTTGAGTCAATAATTGTTCCATTAGGAATTTGTCGCGCGTAAACAGCGACTATAGATCTTTTATTATAATTTATGTCATGGGAATCATCGAAAAGGAGTCAAAAAACTATTATTTTTATTATTTTCGTCTCGAACATCCAATTCGGGCAAATGGTTGTTAAGAAATGCATTTGTATTAAGTTCAAACATACTATTGAATTAAATTGTATCAAAATTTTTCTTCCATCGCAATTTAACTTCAATTTTATACACTCTAAACATCGACGAAAGGATGAAAATCATTCAGAATGCTGGCTAAAATTCTTTGAGCGCACTGTACGAACTCGCTATTATTTGTGGCCTTGTTCAAATAATTACGCAATACGTCATCTGTAATCTACTGATTATTAAACCCGAAAAGTAAAACATGGCTTACAATATAATTACGTCGCAGCATCAGCCTCCACCTATATAATAATATACCTCATAACGATGTGTGGCAGTGGAAGCACCTTTATTCAAACGTTTAGTTACTAGCAAATAGAATTGCACAGTCCCACTAGATTTCAGAAAAATAAATACCGACTTGCACCGCAAATATCACCATAACTTAAAACATTTCATTGCATAAAACTTGTATGTAACACTGAACAGATAAAAAATTAACACACTTCCCCCACGATAATTTATTGCTTATTTAAACTAAATAATAATTGACAAAGCCGAGTTTTTAGCGCATCTTCCCATTTATGGAAAAATGCACTATTGTGCTCGCCATGTCCGTCCGTCCTTCCGTCCGTCCGTCCGTCTGTCCGTCCCTGACTTCACGTTTTCGTCGACGAGAAAATGCGCTCTCTGTCATTCACTGCAGTGAGTGCTGAGTTATATTTTTTTCCTATTAAAGAGAAGTGGGCTGCGTGGAGTGCCACGCGGCGGTGGGCAGCATAGAGGAGCTGCTGAGCGTGGGCGCCAGCGAGCAGGAGCTCGAGAACGCAGCTATAGAAATCTGCCTCGACTTCCATCTTTTCGTAGAGGACGTTTGCATTGAAATGGTGCAGCTCGCTGCTGTGAGTTAATTTTTATCAATCAAGATGTTTTGTTCGAAATTAATATAATATAATAGTATTATTTTCCCACATGAAGTAAAAAATAAACTAATATAAATTGTAGGCTGTGTTTTGCGTAAAACTAGCATAACCTTTTAATTTCACACATTAAAATATTAAATTAATAAGCACCGTTTGCTTCAACTCCATGTTTGTTTCCGATAATTTTTTTAGGATCACATGTCGTAATATCGGAAGTCATTACTCGCCTGCCGCCTCATAATGTCTCAATCCTGGTCATTTTATTTCCACCACAGCCGCAGATCGTATACGTGTTGAACACGACGGAGCACGACGTGGACACGATTTGCCACGTGTTCTTCGGCACGTGCAAGTCTACGTTGCCTACGTGGAACGTGACCATACCCGGGGGAAAGCCGGAAATCCTGCCGCCTGTCATGGGGGTGAGGATTTAAGTCTTATTGCAGCTTCTAAATGAAAGAAGCTAAAACATCCCTCTTAGCAGGATGTCATCGATTGCGGTGTCAATAAAGTTGGCCTCGAAAACGAGCGTGTCTCGAATATGCTCTTCATTATAACATATTTCAGACTGCACTAGTTGGACCTGCTGAACTCCAATAGCCTTCTCTAGTTAGTCCGGATAATTTTACTATTTATCCAAGCCAAAGAGGTAAATAATCTCAGAACATTTCTGAGTATTATACCAGAATTTTATTATTATTCCAGAATTTTGATTCTGCTCTCAATGGATGTTAGAAACTAAAAAGTTAGAAGTTCCTATGGAAAAATTAAGAGGAGAAAATCGAGTAATTTGTTATTTGTAAAGTTTTTTTACTGGTTTAGACTTTAATGCATTCTTTTACAATGCGACATACCGCATTCTGCACTCGGCAGACAGTTTAGACTGCCCATGCTATGCATTTACCTATCCACGCAGGACTGAACATTCCACATCCTGCACTTTTTAAAAACTACCTGTTCTCTGCATGTAGCCGCCCAGGACTCGACATACCACATCCTGCACTTAGTATCTACTACCCCAGGTTAACATATACCGTACCATGCAAACGTGAGGGCAATACGTGAGGGCAATACGTGAGGGCAATACGTGAGGGCAGATGCTTGCATGAGGGTAACTTGGACCCTCCAGGTGAAGAAGTCCATCCTTAATCTATTTTTATCTTAAAAATTTTCTAATGCATAATAATTAAAGAATATTCAGTGTATCATTATCTCTGAGTTTTCTAACAAAGCATTAGTATAATTTTTTAAAGTGCTTTGATAAGATTTGTCTTAAAAGTTTTTAATGAATAATTAATTACCTTTGGAGCTTTCTACTCCATATATATATATTATTTATTTAGGAGTGACTTTTTCCCAACGTTCTGCGGACAATCGAAAATTACAGGTTAATAGCTTGACCTATCAATCCTTGACCCTCGTTAAAGGTGGCAATCAACTTTAGCGCCCCTACGCTTTGTCCAATTGATAATTTATTTATCATTGTCAAACCATACAGCGTTGCAGCGACGTTAAGTGAGTGACAAACGTATGCTGTACCTCCCTGCAATTCCTGTAAAATTAACGCGGTCAACACAGCGGCCATCTCATCTCCGCATATTTTTTGACGCGAATTTATTACTTGCATTCGACAATTGGGTTCCGTCTACTTGTTTCCTTATTTAGCGGTCGAGATTCCAATACTAAGCCAGATTCTAATACATACCAACGGCTCACTGTGCGACTCACGTACTCAAATAAAATACTTTTTTACTCGAGTTTAGTTACGTGACGGGTGACCTGAGCCCACACGTGGTGTGGATGCTGACGGAGGAAGACATCAGCGCCTCCGTGGTCGACACGGCGGCCGTCATCCGCCGGTACTTCCCCGACACACCCGTCGCCTACACGCTGGGCAACCACGAGTCCAGTCCCGTTGACAGGTGATCGTGGCATAGTTATTTTTGCTTGGTTCAGTTAATTTTCATCGTCTAAGATCATAATTTCAAGTGGGCCATTCGATTTGAGTTTATTCACATTCGATGTCTTCACGTGAGTCTCCGCTTCATTTCAGTTTTCTGTTAACATTGATAGAAGAAAACATCAATATAGGGCTAACTATTGTAAAAAGGAACTAATGCATTTAATGAACTGATGCATAAATGAACTGATGCTGATTCAGTTTTCGCTTTTTGATATAAAGCATATAATGCGGTTCAATCGAACACACAGTGAACACTAACTATGCGGAATGTTGAGGTATAACGCAGATGTTTCAAATCACCTGAATGGGTACAATTTCTTCAATGTATTTATTGTGTTTCTCATTCCATTGCAGTTTTGTTGTGCCCGAGGCGTACGCCGCGGGCTTCTCCATGGACTGGCTGTACACGTTGCTGGAGACCGTGTGGGGGGACGGGGGGGTCCCTGACACTGCTATGGACACGGTGCTCAGTGGAGGATACTACCACTGGTCCCCATTGCCGGGGCTGCGGATCGTCTCACTCAACCCCAATTATGGTCAAGGCAACAACTGGTAAATTGTGTAACTTTGTTAGTTTGTAATTGGAAAAATATCTCTAATTAACATCTCGATTCTCATTAAAACCCAGGTAACACTGACTAGGTTTGAACTTTTTATTACATAATTATCACTAATTTACAATTACATCTTTTTAGAAGAAGAGACCCTGAAATTTTTTATTTATTAATTTAAAAATTAACACTGATTAACATTTCTGTCCCTGTAATAGCTCACGCAAGCCAATTATGATAACATAATTTTTGGTCTACAATTATAATTTCATTATTGTTCCTCTTATTTACATCACTATCACTTTTATAGCCGAAAGAAGTATGAAATTTATATACAGTTTCGCATCTAGTTGCAGGTTATGATAATACTTGTGACAGAAGCAACAGTTATATTAAGCCTCCGCCAGCTTGTACATAGAAACTTATTAAATAATAAATTTTATGATTTATTAGTAACATTTTCAAAGAAAGTTTTCTCGCATCACACGGTGCTCATCACCTGCATGTTTTCTCATCATGTCTCCTTTGTGAATGAACAAACTGTAATTTTATTTAATTATTTGTCACTGAACGGTTAATACTGTAATCACCTGATGAAAAAATCATTTAACAATAAATTTTCACTTGCGTTCTTGCCAGAAAACTTTGTTTCAATTATGAACGTTTTCATATCTGAGCAATTCTGTAATCCTACCGTCGTTATTAGTTGTAACTGATCTCTTAAGAGTCTGGGAGCGGACACGGAACTCAGCATCGAGACCGAGCGGCAGAAGGCTGTATCATGGTTGAATAATAAAAATATTCAACCATGGGCTGTATAGTCTCCACTTACTAGAGTTTATGCCTCGGTCCAAAGTTGGTCATCCTACCTCTGGGCGCGCGTTCCCTTCCACTCCCACACATACCGTGCACACTGCCTCTACTCGTATTTTAAAAAAATTCATCTATATTTTGCTTCCATTAGGAGTTGAAAATCAAAGAAAATACCACAAAAATTCACCATATCTTTATAAGAGACAACGTTTCGGAGTCCAGCTCCATCGTCAGTTCATAACACAAAATTCTGTTCAGAAAAAGTTCAGTCCTAGAAACACAAATAAATCAATTAGTAAAGTAAAATGCACTGTCAGGTTTCAAAACGAAAAATTAATAAATAAGACATGAAATTAACGGCAGAATGTGGAGACACGAATAGAATATAAAATTTTTTAGTACCTAATGATTTAATACAAATTTTTTACTGCTTGTTCGTTTTCATGGTTTTTACACGAATTAGCTTTGTCCACACGATTACATTGAATATCTTCTTATTGATAACCAAGATTAAAAATACACGCTCATATTTTTGAGAAATGCTGTGTCTTGATGACACTACGAAGCTGAGCTATGTTCATTTAGAAAAGCAAGTGTAGCGATTAGTCAAGCGCTCTTCACGGCAATTTGGCCGACAGTAATCGGAAAAATGGACCCATCAAATCACTCGAGGATTACCGCCAATTCCAAGCTTTAAGTCCCATCACAACCCAGCTTTTATTATTAGTTGCAATAAGTCATAAGAAAACTGTATTTTATTAGTTACAGCAAAACTTTTTTATCATTAATTTAAAATTTGTAGCAGAATCTTCAAAATCAGCTTTATTATCATCTGAATATGTAGGTACTAAGATCCATTTATTTCTTGGATAGCAAATATAAAAGAACTTTAATAACGTAGAAGAAAGCACTTAAGTGTACCATATCTTTATAAATGTGAACGTTTCTAGCTCCATCATCCTCTCGACAATCCTAAAAAGTAAACACAATCAGTTAACAATCCAAATTTCACTGGCAGACATTAAGATCTAAAACCTTCTAAATACACTTTTCGCAATAGCGCCGTAAAACGGTCAGACCGGCATTTCAGTGGACGGCTGACCGGTGAAATAAAACCGCGTGCCACCGTTTTTTACAATTTAGCATACGAAACTCGTATCGCATTTAAAAAGAACGGCGAAACGGTTTATTTTCTCGGGATGGCCGGCCACTGACCATTTTTTTTCGTTATTCCGAACAGTGTATGCAAGTTTCCCCTCACATCGGCAGGTTCCTGCTCATCAACCACGTGGACCCCACCGGGCAGCTGGAATGGCTGATTCAGGTCCTCTTGGATGCTGAGGCCGCGGGTGAAAAAGTCCACATCATCAACCACATCCCGTGGGGATTTCTTCTAGAAGATTTCAGTCACAACATGAACCAAATCATTTCCAGGTATTGTAAAGTCAACATTTATATTGTTATTCAATATAGTTATATTTGTTGCAAATTAGACATCATCGAAGTAATATATAGTGACAGTTCCAGTGGCGTACCAGCAACATTAACAGCAACTAAATTTCCTGGAGTCTGGTAAGAAGAACTTTGCGTCTGGTAAGAAAAACTTCAGAATCGACTCTACTAACGCTCAAAGTCCCATATAGGGTCCCTATCGAAATTCGAAGACCTGTCAGCCGCTGGCACACGGACGCCCCAAGTTCTTATGGCCGGGTAAATTAGAAGCTCTATGTCCGCATTAGGTTCCGGTTGCCGCAGCGAAATAAGCGCCGAAATGGAATCTTATGAAATTACTCGTCGAGCTTGGGGCGATCGTGGGGCGCGCGTATTTGGTACCTAATACGTTCGGGACAGACACGGCCGAATATGAAAAATGCTTTAAAAAATGCCCCCTCCCTTCCCCCCCTTATGGGGGGAAGGGAAAACACCCTACGTGGCCGACTTGCTCCTGATTCACCCCTAAGTCGAATATAGTTCCTCTAAAACGACCTTAATCGGCACGAAAATTTTGACAGGGGTGTACTTATGCATGTTATCATATATCATTTTTGTAGTATATTATTATCAACTAATACATTGGGGTAGCTATACAGTTATTCTCGTACATTTGCGCAATAGAGAGCGAGATCTTGTTCAGTTTATTAAAAACCTTACATGAGGCCTTCTTACATTAATTCTATTCGAAACATTTGAAATGGTAATATGCTCTACATAAAGCTACGCTCATCCAGCGTTATTCAAAGACTTCTGAAGGTTTCTATTTTGACTGCAAAATATTAACCTTCTGTATGCATGGTGCAGATTTTAGCATACGTTCTCTCAATAGTTTTCTCTTACAGTTTACATATTAAATATTCTAAATTAAAAAAAATCCAATTGCCTTTAGTTTCAAAAAATCGTTAAACCCAATTTGTTGGTATGACTGGTGAGGCCGCGCTGGCGGCTGTCGTCCAAATAATAAGGAAATGAAATGGGCCACAACGATTTTTCGTTTCGATTTCGGAAATTTTCCCACAACCTCGTAAATTCCATCGAAATTTTCATGCTTATCAATCAATCTTGCTGAAAAGAAATAAATATTCACATCATAAATCTCAGATTTGAGTCAACGGTGACCGGAATTTTCATGGGTCACACCCACAACGACGAGTTTCAGCTTTCCTGGGACGTGACCAACAACTCTCGGGCGGTCGGAGTCGCTTACATCGCTCCAAGCCTCAGTTCGGATGGAGAGAAAAGCCCGTCGTTCCGCATATAAGAAGTTGACGGACCTGATGGTTCATGGGTAGGCATTTTCAAGCCATTCTTACCCATAATTTTTCATCATGAATTCAAAAGCAATGAAAACGCCAAGCAAGTTCACCATATCACTTTTTTTTAATAAGGCTTTAATCTCTTTCGCGAATAGTTGGATGTTCTATTCTGATTGTACTTAAATTCTATATATTTTTTGAACTGATGAAGGAGCTGGTCTCCAAACCTTTTAATTGAAGATATGGCAAACTTGTTTGGCGTTTTCGTTGCTTCTATATTCTTGGTGAAATTGCTATTTAAACAGGCTGATGATATAAGCAAACAACCACATTCTTGTTGCAATTATACAATTCACTTTTTCAACGAAGGAATAAGCTCAAAAAAAACACGGCCGCTCAATTGTTTTCAACTCCATGATTTCAATTATGGGTAGAGGCACCATCATCAGTAGGTTCGTCCTCTTCATTTATGATTGTAATTCATAATAAGTCATTTGCAGGGAGAGCGATAGAGTATGTTAACGAAGGTTTATGAATCATATCCATGAAGACTGGTGAGGTATATCCAGAGAAAATAATGAGGTATATACAGAGACGATTCATTTTCATAGACACGCATGAAGCTTTATATGGCATACACTCTTACATGAAGGCTGATAAGAAACATCCAGGGAGAAAAAAAATTGAGTTTTCAGAGGTTATATCCATATAAGGGCTTATGAGGCATATCTAGGGGAGCTTATGAGGCATATTAAAATAAGAGTACTTCTTCTGTTGGGAGCATCATTCCCTTTGAAATGTTTCTCAACGAGACCCCATCTCGCGTATGCGCTATGCATTGACCGCTGACACAAGAGTTGGGCCTAAGAAAAACAGAATCAACCGCTTTTTCCAATTAATTACCTAAACAGCTCGATTTTTAAAATCACTTTACTTATCAGCCTAAATATTTAGATAAAAAGTAAAACATGAATGGGAGAAGAAATTATGCGCCAAAATCTCGAGCATCTATTAACGTTGTAATGACCGTTAGTAATAAACTCTTTTTGAGAATTATTTTAATAGGCTCTAATTCATCACTAGTCATTGAAAGAATAATAATTATATACAAAAATATACCAAAAGTTTCAATGCATTTCGTAGACCGTGCGTGACTCGCTGACCTACTCTATGAACCTGACGCTGGCCAACGCTGGCGCGGACCCTGTCTTCGAACTTACATATTCCGCCAAAGACGCTTACGCCTTGCCCGACCTCAGCCCTGCCACGTGGACTGACACTGTCTACAAGATGGCCACCGACACCGAACTATTCGATGAATTTTACAGGTTATTATTTTGTGTTTAGATTAATCCTCAGTGGTCAAGTTAATCCTTTATGGTAAGGTTCGTCCTTTAAGGAATTAGGCAAGTCCCGACCTGACCTCTGCCTCGGTGGCCTGCACTGTCTACCAGATGATGGCCGAAACCGAACTGAGGAAATTTACAGGCTTCTCTTAACATCTTTTCGCAATATACTAATGAATGAACAAATTGTCATTCCTGTCAAAGTAATCGGTTTTTTCTTATATAATACACATAACTTAGTCCTTCCCTGTTTAATATATTTCTAACGGTTCAATATAGACTACAACCACTGTTGGAGGAAAAATTGCATCAAATGGTAAACAATTCAACGGTAGCCATGTTGCTTCCAGATGAGTATCAATATTTAGACTTTCATCAACTTCCTTGTTGTGTAAATCTGATATTAATAAATTAATTTACAAAAACATTCACCTATAAGAATATAAATATTCTTGCAGGCACCAGCGCAGCTTCTGGGCAGAGCCTGCCGAGCTGGCTTGGTGTCAGACCGAGTGCCGGACAAACCAGCTTTGTTTTGCTGTCAGCGGTGACAGAACCGACGACGAGCCTTGCCAGCGCATCCGGGCCCTTATTCCAGACAACGGCAACGTCACGTCGTACGAACATGACTTTTGAACTCAAACTTCCAGTTTATGGTGAATAGACTTTATGTTACAACTTCAACGCTGCGTCTCGTGAAAACTTTTTCGTTTTGACACCCGATATTGCAGTTCATGTTGAATGATAATTCATGTGGCAACGGCAGCTCCACGTCTAAAAAAATAACTTTTGTACTTCATGTCAAACCTGTAGTCAAGATTAAATGTGGTTTATTGTTTCATGGGAATAATCGTCGTGTCCGAGGAGAATAAGAATACAGCATTTAACCCTGTACAGACTGCATAATTTTGCAGCAATATAATCGTACCATATTAAGTTAAATTTGTACGGCGATGATTCAAAGAACAATCCGAGAAGTGCTAAAAGTAACTGAATAGCCTTAATTGGGGCAATGCTACGACGTCGAAGTAAACAATAATAAACAAAAACAATTATTTCTTTTGTCATTTTTGTTAAATAAAAGCTGTTAACCCGATGGCTCAAGGAAAGATTAGTTGCATTCTATTTTTTAATAATTGAATTTCACGACGCATATGATGAAAAGAAAGCCTGAATCGAGCATCTGAAATAGTGAACTTGCTAAGAGAGAAGTGCAATTCTGAAATTGTAAAGAATTAATTCGAATAATGCTGATATACTGGGTATAAATGGCCAAACGAATGTAATGTCTTCTAACCCTCTAATACATATCTAAATTTGAGCTTCATGTTAGGCAGTTACTGGGCATATTTTATATAATAAATTCATGAGAATTATGTAATTCATAGATCATCACTTATTGTTATGATGGTATTGCTTGACCGAGTTGCAAAAATCTATGATGTTACACTTGATATATAACTTAGTTATTGCGTGAAATTTAGTTACTGCTTGAAAACTTGGTTACTGCGCGAACAATTGGTTACTGCGCGAACACTTGGTTACTGCTTGAAAACTTGGTTACTGCGTGAACACTTAGTTACTGCGTGAAAACTTGGTTACTGTGCGAACAATTGGTTACTGCGCGAACACTTGGTTACTGCTTGAAAACTTGGTTACTGCGCGAACAATTGGTTCCTGCGTGAAAACTTNCCATTATTATGTACCGACAGTGAGCCATAATTATGTACCGACAGTGAGCCATAATTATGTACCGACAGTGAGCCATAATTATGTATCGACAGTGAGCCAAAATTATTTACCGACAGTGAGCCATTATTATGTACGGACATTGTGCTCTAAACAGTCAGTATCAACCATAGTAAACGTCTAAGATCTATAAATGACAATATTTTCAGGAGTTAACGGCCCAATAGAGTAACAATAATTTTCCCATATATTGTTGTATTAACTTTCATTAGAAAATGATGTTAAAAAAAGTTTTCATGAGAAAATTGTTTTGCAAATGAATTGAAGTTCATGAGTTCTAAGTTTAATGAACATCTATAAGTCGACGAGTTAATTGTGTTCGAGAAAACCACGCTCTACCGTCAGAACATAATAAATGAATAAATATTGGGATTCGTCTTTATTAAAGCCTTTCGTCGAACTACACTCTTGCCTATATATTATTAACCGGTTTCTGCAATTTTTAGCATATACATCAATAATGTATTATCCCCTAAATCCCGAATCCCGCCATTACCGTTGTCTCTAATTCCGTTAATATTAATAAAGCTTTTGCTATCAAATTGAGGCTTCTTCAAAGGCTTCAAAGGCTTCAAAGGCTTCTATAAACTCACATTTTACATAAAACCAAGGGCTCTCATTTTGCTATCGTTTCAGAATATTGCAACAACAATTTTACGACTTTTAAATTCTATGTATGCTCTCAATTGCGAAATCATTTCCCCATTTTTGACCCAATCTCTTACTATTCTCCCACTAAGAATAAATTCACAGGTGCAGGCAATATCTCTACACGATAAGTGTCCTGAATACGCGCCCATACAGTTCCTGCATATATTAGAAGCCCGGCATCAAATACACATGCAAAAACAAACTTTGATAAATGTATGGTTAGATGAACTTATTACAAATTGATTTATTATCATCGTATGAGTTGCGATCAAGTCGTCGATGTAGCCATATTGTCGATATTGATGATTCACGCCATTAGAAAAATGGCACGTAATAAATTTTCAGTCCACTTGGAAAGCTGATATTTTGTCCATTTTATATACTCTAGCATCCGTGATTTAGAGCGCTTAGAACACTCGAGCAATCATATTGAATAGATAATAGGTTTTGAATCCAATTTTGTTTACATCATCAAGCCATGCTGGAAACTTAAATTTATTTTCAATATCCCATGAGAATCTTGAAGAGTTTATATTTCAAATGTATTCAAACTTCATACACGCGTATCTATTGTCTGATTTTTCGATAAGAAATTCCTTTGTGACATTTCGGTATTCGCGAAATAAGTGTTGTTATATTGAGTTATTGTTAATGTTGTTCATTGTATTGTTTTGGTAATAGGTAAAAATCATAGTAAACGTTACGAGATACATTCACAAGACAGTCGTTTCTAAAGTCAGATCGCCAGTTTCTACGAACTATTCAATTATAGATCAATTGCCTCACTTTCGTCCTGTAAATACTTAAACTTGTGGTTAAATGAGGTAGATATTACTCATTCATTCTTCAGTAACATAAATTAATAAGATGAATAGCGTTCATCAGTGTTAGTAGAACATTTCATCAAGATTTGACTTCCCAATTGATTCACGTCTAATTAAGTGCAACTCATGGAAATGTTTCAATATTTTATATGAATTTAGTGCTGCGTGTTGGTGCCGATTTTTGTGCCGCCTATGATGACCTTTTAACCCATGATGATCAGATAAAATATTTGATGCACAAATGCACTGTTATGAAATGGTAAGGTGAAATGCTCGACAGAAACTACCAACTTATGAACTTCTATTCCCTGTATTATTCAAATTTAATCGAAGTACTGTAGATGCTGGCAGTAGCATGAAATTCAATTTGATTGAGAATAAACGATTTTCATGGTAGCTTTATTATTCTTGTCATAGAGTTGAATCAAAGAACCCAGTGAATGTTTATTTGTTATTTAAAGTAGTGGTTTATTTTTTAACGGTCGCCCCCAAATTTTCATGTATCACGCACCCGACGAAAATTTTTCGGTAGCACCAATGACACAGACTACACGCGTTTGTCTTAATTTAGTGCGGGTACCAGACATGACACATCGCCCTGGCCCCATCAGATGCCATGTTGTCGCCCACTCCATACTGAAGTCCATTCTTGTACATGGTGCCCCCCAAGGCGGGGGCGTAGTTGGGTTCGACGCCCGTCCAGTCGCCGGTGCCCGTTGTCTGGCCGGCGGTCCGCTGGTTGGCGGGCCACCGCCACACACCGTCCACCTTGTGCAGTCCCAGCCAGAACAGTGGCATGGTGGCTGTGAGCAAAATGTTTCACCAAATAACCGAGTATTTTAAATTAAATATTTTGACGGGTAGTTTTAAGCTTGTATGAGTCGGCCGGTGTACATTGTTATGACGTTACCATTATTGTCGTGAAAGCTGGGTAAAGAGAACTCATATTATCCCAGGTCATATAGCACTGCCAGACAATGAGATTCCAAAAAGCTAATAATTATTTATTGAAGGCCGGCTTGAACATTGGTACATCAATAGTAGATCATTTACGGGAGAACGTGCTTTATCAGGATAGATCAGATTCTCCCCACCTGGAAGTTACAATTCGATACAAACTTAGAAGTTTGATTGCAGAATTTAACACGTTGACTACGATTGCTTCATCTTGTACAATTATTTCATTTTTTGTACTTTTTTTAAGCAGGGTTGCCAGACGGTCATTTTTTCCGGACAAATTCCGTGATTTAGTTTTTCTCAATTGCGTTGGCCGGCTAAAATTTATGATAGGGGTACTTCCTAATTAAATTTTAAATACTGCAAAAAGAAAATAAATGGAATTTTTATAGCGGAACTTACAAATAAAGTAGTATACATTGAATTATCGGCCCTTTTAGGCTTTTTTTGTTCTCGTATTCGGCCGATTTTAGGCAACCTGAATTATGTCCCACTACCTCCTGGAGGAACACATTTCGTGGTACGCATATGTACCAATACGTAGTCAACGTGTTAAGAACTACTGGAGTATAAATAAACAGAACACAAAGTCGCCAAAAAATTTCCACAACATAGAAATTATAAGAAGAAACACAATTAAGTCAAAAATTCATAATAAAATTTAGATGCAGGTCTGACTCTGCAACAGGTGCCGCTTAGGACTCGGGAAATACGCATATCAGCCGCTAATGTCTAGACTCCTGCGTCTCGAAATAATTTTCTCGAAATGAACCGGGACAGGCGAAATGAGACGAGAAAATTCCGGGGAAAAATAACGGGACAGAGGGTAAAATTTGTCCCGGAATAAACGTATGAACCGAGACAAGACTTCTATCCCGGACTTTAAAACTTGTGTCCCGGTAAATTATAAACCGGGACGAGACAGACAGATTTGAAACGAGACATAACGATACGAGACGAGATTCGTCTTAATTATTTAAGACAAACGAAGTTTTTCGATTACGATACGAATTGTTTCGAAAACATGGGTTGAAGAATGACAAGTTAGCCATTCATTGCTAATAGGGCCATAGACAGTTACCAGTTAAATTGAGTTAATTGCAAATTTAGCAAAATTTGTCTGACTAACTGACATGGCAGTTAATTAATGGTCTGACAAACACCGCAAACCTGTCGATGTATGGCTGAGTATTGAGTAAAAAATGTTACCCTTAAGTCTTAACTAAGGCTTTGATGGCACTTTATATGGGAACCGTACGAGTACGAGTCGAGTTCATAACGCGTTCGGAACGAGTTCAGGCGTCATGGAGCGCAGAGGGAGTAGGGACGCAGTGTCTAGATTAGTCGGCCAATTAGTAGACAGTGGAGTGCAGTCCTGGTAAGATATCCTAATAATACTAAAGCTAGTTTTAGATTATCTCTGCCTTTAGTAAAATGTTGTGCTACGCTTCCAGG